AGTGCATTCACATAAATTGAAAAATTATTGATGGGGTACTTAGAAATGGAAATTTTCATAATAAAAAATCTAAGATTTAAAAAATAACGTGAATATAGGAATTACCACAACCCCCCCTCCCCCAACACACACCAAAAAATATGTTTTCGAACAAATTAAATATATTATTGATAAATGATCTTTTTCAAAAAATATATTAAATATTTTTTTTATGTGGCAATTTCTTCCCTCATAAATTAGGTATGTGGGATTAATATTTTTAAATTTTAGGAACATACACTTTTATTTATAATAACTCAACTATAATGTTTTTTTAAAATAACCCACTTAGATAAGATTCATGCGCAACACGCGTATCATAAAACTAGTTATCTAGAAAAAGAACTAAGGGTCTATTTGGAAAGCCATCAGTTTAATTGGACTTGGTGCAATTACTAGGTTAGTAATTACACATCCTATTAATTATACAGTTGTGTAATTACAACGACCTATTTGTTTGTCATAGCGTAATTACAATGTAATTACTAGTTTACTATTTGGTTGCACAAGTATAATTACACAATAAGATTAAATTTTAAATGAAGTAATTATCAAAACTTAAAACAACAACAACAACATACCCAGTATTATCCCATACTGTGGGGTCTGGGGGAGGGGTAGTGTGTACTCAGACCTTACCCCTACCTTATTTGGATAGAGACCTTGTTTCCAACAGACCCTCGGCTCAGTTAATATAATAAATATATGCCTATAGATTTTTATAAGTATAAAGATGATATTTAAGATGCATATTTTTTAGTGAACATACATTAATTAGTAATCGCATATTTATAACTAATATTGTAAAAATAACAACAACTACCCAGTAAAATCCCACATAGTGAGGTCTAGGGAGGGTAATACGCAGATCTTACCCATGCCCCGATAAGGCAGAAAGGCTGTTTCCGATAGACCCTCGGCTCAGAAAGACGAAAATAACAAACAAGAAAAGAGAATTCATTAGTAACTCCAGTAGAAACCATAATAGTAACAGAAGCATAAAAACCAAAAGATGAATGACATGCAATAACAATAACTAGGGTCTAAGGCCCGGGGCTAAGATAAACAACAAGAATAATGTGGGTTCAACATAAACTGCAAGCCATCTAAGGTCAACCCTAATCCAACCCCGCCTCACCCCAGGTATGAAGTAAGGAAAGCTCAACTACCTCTATCCTACAACCGTAATGCTTGACCTCCAGGCCTTCCTATCAAGGACCATGTCCTCGGAAATCTGCAGTCGTACCATGTCTTGCCTGATCACCTCTCCCAATACTTCTTAGGTCTCCCTCTACCTCTTCTCGTACCCACCACGGCCAACCGCTCACACCTCCTCACCGGTGCATCAAGGCTTCTCCTGTATACGTGCCCGAACCATCTGAGCCTCGCTTCCCGCATCTTGTCATCCACAGGGGTAACGCCCATCTTCTTCCTAATATCTTCATTCCTAATCTTGTCTATCCTAGTGTGCCACACATCCACCTCAGCATCCGCATTTCTGCTACTTTCATCCTCTAGATATGGGAATTCTTAACCGTCCAACACTCTGCCCTATACAACATGACCGGTCTAACCACAACTCTATAAAACTTACCTTTGAGTATCGGTGGCACTTTCTTGTCACACAAGACTCCAGATGCAAACCTCTATTTCATCCAGCCCGCCCCTATACGGTGAGTGACGTCCTCGTCGATCTCTTTTGGGGATGACCTGTGACCCAAGCCTCACATCCCCGCCTACTTCCCTCGACTCAATGCTAAACTTGCACTCCAGGTACTCTGTCTTAGACCTGCTCAATTTGAAACCCTTAGACTCGAGTGTCTGTCTCCAAACCTCCAATCTCTCGTTAACATCGGCCCTCGTCTCATCAATGAGAACTATTTCATCAGCAAATAACATACACCATGGAACCTCCCCTTAAATATGGTATGTCAAAACATCCATCACCAAGGCAAATAAGAAAGGGCTAAGCATAGAGCCTTGGTATAATTCCATAACAACCGAAAAATGCTCCGAGTCTCCTCCCACAGTCCTAACCTTAGTCTTAGCTCCATCATACATGTTGTTGATCGCTCTTATGTAGGCTATCGGCATGCCCTTCGCCTCAAGACATCTCCAGAGCACCTCCCTAGGAACCTTGTCATACGCTTTCTCCAGTCAATAAACACCATGTGCAGATCCTTCTTCTTATCCCTGTACCGTTCCACCAACTTTCTAATAAGGTGGATAGCTTCCGCAGTGGAGCGGCCCGGCATGAACCCAAACTGATTGTTGGATATAGACATCGTCTTCCTCACCCTCACCGCCACCACCCTCTCCCAAACTTTCATGGTATGACTAAGTAACTTAATACCCCTATAATTATTACAACACTGGATATCACCTTTGTTCTTGCACAACGGTACCACTGTACTCGACCTCCATTCTTCCAGCATCTTCTTCGTCCTAAAAATAACATTGAACAACCCANACAAATATAATGTCATAACATTATCCAAATATTTGACAAAATTAATCTATCAATTCTAATTAAAAAATGAACAACATGCAATGTGAGCCAATACTACTAAAACAAGTAAATTGGAACCATGAATATAACATAATTTTAAAATTCAAAAAAAATAGTTTAACATATGTCAAATTACAACATAATAATAGTAAGTTGCACTACAACTTAAGATTAGGAAACATGATAAGTTTATAACATCATTCAACAACGATATTTCGCTTTAATTGTATCACTCATTATATGTCAAGTTTGTTAATGACTCTATTTTGAGTCATTAAATTAAAATGAAAACAAAAAGGAAAGAAACTAAAAAGCAACCTTGTAATTATACAGTGTAATTACCATCAATTCTCACCTCCCTCTTGAGAATTGGAGAGTGTAATTACACTCCTCCAATTACACCCAATTTCATGTTGACCAAGTAATTACTTGGCGAAACAAACATGTCAAACTGTGTAATTACACCCAATTATACCCAAATCAAATTCTTAGGTGGCTTTCCAAACAAGCTTTAAAACTCTTACTTTAATTTGTAAAGTCAAGTTAGTTTTTTAAAGTTGAACTCCTTAGTGTAATTGAAAAACAGAGTACTCCATCAAGTTTTTTCCCCAAAACTTATAATCCACTCACGAGATCTGAAGTTGTATCACAATGATTGGAGGAATGCAAGAAAATGGTGAGATAAGTGTCGTCCTTAAAATGTACGTAGTAAGAATTTACGGCCATGAAACTAGTCCGAATAATTTTAATATTGGACCTTTTTTTTCTTCTTGTTGCTATAGCGTGATAAAAACTCGTAGTAGTATCTATTTCGAAGCTTGTGCTGTTAAATTTGAGAATGATATGGATATTAGAAAAGGTGTTCAAGATATATGAATTAATTGTGGTTCATTATACGATACAGTCGAATCAAACAAGAAAAATATGATTAAACAATAACAAATATTATAATCTTTTAGATATGAAACCAACGGTCTAGACAAAACGCAAGTACACTAAGTTTAATGATGTCAAGTGAAAAACACTGGGACAATATTTCATCTGATCATGCCAGCTTGAAGAGGGGCCATGGTAACTCCCCGGCGGCTTTCTCTTTCCAAGTTATCTTGCCAGCCTTGACGAAAACATTCAAAATATTGTCAAATTAAGTAGCGAAATTTGTAAAACTCAAGTTTAGAAATTAAACAAATTAAAGTTAAAAAGAGTACTTAAGTATCTATTGCCATATAAACCCACGGTTCTTAAGCTCTCAGTATTCCTGGCAAATGAGCACAAGGTTCTCAGAAGAAGTGCACAAGGCAATCAACACAAGTTGACTCTTCCAAATCAAATTGCCCCCTCATTCTTGACTACGAGTGGCAAACGAGCAAGTTGGATCAAATATTGTTCGGGTAAAAAATGGATAATGAAAAAAAAGATAAATTATCCGATCGGATCCATATTAAATATGGATAAAAAATGGGTTCATGACTTCTTGAATATGATCACTTTTGGTAGAATTCCTAGTCTCCCAAACTTGAGGAACTCCCAATTTGAGTCTTTACAAATGTAAAAGTTAAACCCATTAGTTATCCATTATACCCCATTTTCTAAATGGATAATATGGTTCTTATCCATATTTGACCCATTTTTAAAAAAGTTCACTATTCAACCCGTTTTTAGTGGATAATAAGGCCTATTAACTGCTTTGTTTTAACCATTTTGCCACTACTATTCTTTACACAAGCTAGGGCAGCATGTCAATGCCACCAGAACTCCATATATATGTAATGCACCACTATCCCCACATGCTATATCATCAAAATAAGCACAGCACATCATCATAAACATTAACTGATCCGAAAATAAAAATAACCTAGAGACTAAATCATGCGCGCGTAACATTAATATTTTGTATGCTTACAAGTTTTTCCTTTGTTTACAATTTCAACGATTTGTTCGAAGGTGACACAAGTAAAATTGCGAGGATCATCAAAACAGCGGCAAAGACCGGTTGACCACGGCGAAGGGAGGAACAGAAGGTTGTTGCATAGGGCCTGGATGCCCCATACTCGAGAATTTGCCCGTCTTCTTGACTGTTGAGAGTAGTTAAGTCTATCTAACTCTAGTTAGCTTAAGTAGAGTTAATATTATTAGTGGTTAAGCAAGTAGTTAGTTAGTTATGTAATGTGTATAAATAGAACATTAGAAGAAGTAGTAGTTTGTACAGTACCATTCTTTCTTAGTTAATAACAGAATCTGGTATTCTCTTCTCTCAACTGTTTTCTCGAAGCTTCCTTCTCTTCTTCATCTGAACTTCATCTTCCACAACCATGGAAGTTAACATGGTATCAGAGCATGCATTGCCGATCTAAACTCAGTCTTCCGCTCGTTCGTTCTCTGAGTTACTTCAATTCATACACACGGTGTTGAATTGTCTCAAAGTGACATAGTATTGAAAAAGAAGTTGGAAATGGCAATTACAGATGACGAGAACAATCACTTACGTGCAAATGCCTCTCCGACGACCAGTGCAATACGATTCACCATAGTCGATCACAATCACCCTCTTTACCTACAACCTACAAATACTCCAGGTAGCTCTCTGATTTCTCTTCAATTGACTTGCTCAAACAACTATGCTATATGGAGTAGATCTATGCAAATTGGTTTGTTAGGTAAAATCAATTAGGTTTTGTTGATGGAAAGTACCCTAAGTCTAAATTTAAACCTGAACTACATGACCGATGGGAAAAGGTGAATGCTGTAGTTTTGTCGTGGATAATGAATGTAGTACGACCAGGATTGCTAAGTAGTGTTGTATATGCATCCAATGCTCACAAGGTCTGGGAAGATTTAAAGGAAAGGTTTAATAAAGTGAATGGCTCTAGAGTCCTTTATCTTCACAGGGAGATTCATACCCTTATTCAGGGGACTATGACTGTTGCTGATTACTTCTCTAAGCTTAGAGATTTGTGGGATGAATTTGATGCACTCATGCCTTGCCCTGGGTGTCCATGTCCAGAATCTAAGAAGTATGCTGCTCACTCTGAATATCATAAACTTCTATAGTTCCTCATTGGCCTAAATGATTCCTATTCACAAGCTAGGAGTAAGATTATGATGATGTCTCCAGTTCCTAACATAAATAAAGCCTACTCCTTGCTTGTTGATCTTGAGAGTCAGATGAGTCTGGCAAACTTTACACAGGTAGTGCAAGTTGCAGAAGCTGCTGAAAGTAATGCAATGTTTAGTAACAGAGGTCCAGTAACTACAAAGGGAAATTTCAGGCTTCGAAAGAAGATCCCTAGTGTGGTACTGTCATTGCAAAGGACATACAAAGGAGACCCGTTACAATTTAATTGGTTACCCCTAAGACTTCAAGTCTAAGAAGAAGGGAGGTAGTCCTGGAGTGTATGCAAACTATGCAAGTCCCGCAGCAGGCCATGCTCCTGGTAATGCCTGCAAGTTCACTAACAACAATCCACAAATGATCTTTGGAATGCAGAATCAGCAGAACCTTCAAATACCTCAGTAGCCTGTTCAACACCCCACTCCTTACTTTACATAGGAGTCATATCAACCACCACAATCAGTGCTTCAGAAGTCTGTTCAGCAGCTTGCTCCTTTCTTCACACAGGAAAAATATCAACAAATTGTTCAGTTGCTCAGCAAAGGCATGGATGAAAGCACTTCTTGCAAGACTGTAGCAACATGTACTCTAATTACCTTGGTATCTCAGTATGTTAAGAATAGATAAATAATAGATACTAGAGCCTCCAACCACATAACATCTACTCTGCAGTTGTTAAAATCTTGTCAGCTTATTCTAGAGTCTGAAAGAAACAAAGTACATTTACCTATATGAGAAGTAGCATTAGTCACACACACATGGAAATCATCTGTGTTTACTAATCAGGACATCATTGATGTTTTATATATACCCGATTCAAATATAATCTTCTTTCAGTTTCTAAACTTACCAATGAGTTACAGTGTTTAGTGGCATTCTTCCCTAACTTCTGTATCTTTCAAGATCTCTATAGTGGTCAGGTGAAGGGGATTGGTAAGGAGGGACTGGGACTCTATATACTGCAGGGAAGCTCACTGCAAGGAAGTTCATTACCTACTACAACTAAGACTTCAGATAATGTAGTTAATGCAATCAATAAAAGTTGTGTTACAACTGATAGTGAAAACAATAATAGTGGTGCTAGTGTTTCTGATTCTTGTTCCCTATGGCATATGAGATTAGGTCATACTCCAATTGAGGTGATTAGAAAGCATGAGTTGCTCAATAAACTAAAACTTTGTGATCAATCATTTTGTACTGTGTGTCCTTTGGCCAAGCAAACAAAATTACCTTTTCAATTGAGCACTACTATTTCAAAAGCTGCATTTAAATTAATACATTGTGATGTTTGGGGACCCTACAGGGTAGCAACATATGATGGAAAAAGGTTCTTTGTTATAATTGTACATGACTTCACCGGATGTACTTGGATCTGTCTAATTATTTCTAAGTCAGACACCATAGTTGTACTAAGAGATTTTTTGAATAAAGTGAAGAATGTATTCTCTAGTTCAGTTAAGACTCTAAGAACAAATAATGGAGGTGAGTTCTTTAGCTATGAGGTCAAAATTCTTATGTCTGAATTTGGGATTAATTATCAAAGCACATGTGTCTACACCCCACAATAGAACGTGATTGCTGAAAGGAGGCACAAAACTATCCTAAATATGGCTAGATCCTTCAGATTTCAAGCTGCAATTCCTTTAAGGTTCTGGGGAGAGTGCGTGACCTCAACTGTCTATCTGATCAATAGACTACCCTCAAGAGTCATTGCTGACAGATCTCCATTTGAAATGCTGTACTCTCATGCTCCCTCACTATCTCATCTGAAGGTGTTTGGTTGCCTATGCTATGCTGCTATTCCTAAGATCGTAGACAAGTTTGCCTCTAGAGCTGTGCCTACGGTGTTCATGGGATATGCTACTACCCATAAGGGGTGCAAATTGTATGATCTTCACTCTCATAGTTTCATGATAAGGACGCATGTAGTGTTTCAGGAGAACCTATTTCCTTTCAAGCACATGAAAGCAGCAGGAACTCCAATCTTTCCAGTCCTGGATATTATGTCTTCTGATGATGTACGTTATAGGAATGAGAACATCCATGTTCCATGTGATGATCCAAAAGGTCATCACTTATTTTGGAAATAAATTCTATGTTCTGAGGCCTTAAAACCTCTTTTTTTGTCTCACCTCGATTTGTGTGCGCAGTCCGGGCGTGTATCCGGAAAGCCATTATGTGAAAATACGTGAAAATGATAAATTTTGCTTTTAAAATAAATTTAAGTTGACTTTGGTCAACATTCTTGGTAAATGGACCCGGACCCGTGATCCAACGGTCTCGTAGGGTCCGTATTAAAATTTGGGACTTGGGAATATGCCTGAAATTAAATTCAGAGGTCCCAAGCCCGAGAAATGAATTTTTGAAGAAAATTGTTTAACTGAAATTATAAGAGTTTTCAGAAATTTAAATATGTTTGAATTTGATGATATCGAGCCCGTATTTTGGTTCCGGAGCCCGGTACAGGTCTTATATGGGATTTAAGTTGAGCTTGCAAGATTTGGTAAGAAACGAACTTGATATGACGTGAATCGGACCATCAGTTGATAAAAATGGAACTTAATAGTTCATGAGATTTTTCTTTGATTTTGATGCTAAATTCATAGTTATTGATGTTATTTTGATGATTTGATCGCATGAGTAAATTTGTATGATGTTTTTTGACTTGCGTGCATGTTTGTTTTGGAGCCCCGAGGGATCAGATGAGTTTTGGATAGGCCTCGGAATGAAATTGGACTTAGGAGAATTGCTGGTGTGTTGCAGGTTTGTAGCAAGTCTCTGATCTTGCATTTGCTTGATCAGGCATCACAATTGCAATGTAAGCGGGGTTCGCAAATGCGAGGTTTTTGTCCCAAATGCGAAGAACCCCGGGCCAGCCTTATCTCGCATTTGCGATGTACACTTCGCAAATGCGAAGTCTTCAGTTAATGCCAGAAGTTGCAAATATGACCTATGTATCGCAAATGCGATGTCACAAATGCGACCCATGTATCGCAAGCGATGTCACAAATGCGATATATCCTTCGAATTTGTGAAGTCAGCAGGTTCCTTAAGGGTTCACAATTGCCAACCATGGTCGCAATTGCGACATCTGCAACCTGCTAAATCATAACTTAGACGCATTTCCAGCCATTTTTCAAACCCTTTCAAAACCTAAACACCTTTGAGCGATTTTTCAAAGACAAGTACTCTTCCAAATCGATTGCAAATCATTTCTAACTCGTTTTCATTAATCTTTAACATCTTTTCACATGATTTCAGCTCAAAATCAAGAGTTTTCATGGGGGAAATTGGGTGTCTTGGGTAGAACTTAGGTTTTTCAAAATTTTGGGATTTGGACCTCGATTTAAGGTTCGATTTAAAAATAAATTATATATTTGGGTTTGTGGGTGAATGGGTAATCGGGTTTTGGTTCGAACCTTGGGTTTTGACCATGTGGGCCTAGGGTCGATTTTTGACTTTTTTGGGAAATCATTGGAAAAATTATTTTCATGCATTGGAATTGAATCATTTAGCATTTATTGATATAGTTAAGTAACTTGTGGCTAGATACAAGCAAATTGGTGGTGGAAACAAGAGGAAAAGTGGTAGTTGAGGCTTGAATTGTGTTCGTTGCATCGAGGTTAGTGTTTGGTCTAACCTTAGCTTGAAGGATTAGGAGTTGTGTCTTATTTGCTATGTGTTAATTATGGAGTATGACGTATAGGCATGGGAACGAGTATCTATACGTCAGTGTCAAGCATGCCCGCGAGTCTCATATTGTAATTGTTGTGACTCCGTTATGATTTGTTCATGCTTCATATGTTGATTATCATTGTTGGTTCCCTAGCCAGGACGTTATTGTTTATGATATTGTCTCCCTTTCCGGGATGTTATTGTTTATGATATTGTCTCCCTTGTAGGGATGTTATTGATTATGATATTGTTTCCATTGTCGGAATGTTATTGTTTATGATATTGTCTCCCTTGTCGGGTTGTTGTTGTTATACTCTTGTTCCCTTGCCGAGATTCTTTTATAATTGATGTTGATATGAAATGGGATCAGGTTGCATGCCTGTAACAAGATATATGAAATGGGAGCGGGTTGCACGCCTGCAACAAGATATATGAAATGGGAGCGGGTTGCACGCCTGCAACAAGATATATTAAATGGGATCGGGTGGCACGCCACCACATAAATATTTGAAAGGGGATCGGGTTGCACACCTGCAACAATAAAGAAATGAAAGTGAATATTGTGATTGTTTTCCTTATTCTTGTTGGTAATTAAATTTTGGTTTCTTTACATTCCTCCTTGGTATTCTATTGTTATTTAGTACTCCCCGCAACATGCTTTCCCCCCTCCTATCTTTAATTGTAAATATCTGTTTTTATTTTTCCGCTGTATATGATTTAATTGCACAGCTTTATTTAGTAGTATGGTTTTAGCCTCGTCACTACTTCGCCGAGGTTAGGCTAGGCACTTACCATCACATGGGGTAAGTTGTGCTGATACTACACTCTATACTGTGTGCAGATCCCGGAGTTGTAGCTTTTGGACCATAGTGAGGGTGGCTGCCTTCAGTCCATACGGAGATCCAAGGTAGTCCTGCAGGCATCCGCAGGCCCTGGCGTCTCCTTCTATCTTTCTATACTGTTTCTTCTATGTATTTCTGAAACAGCTTGTATTTATCTTTCAGATCTCTATTTGTAGTATTCATAGATAGTCCGTGACTTTGTGACACCAAATTCTGGGTAGAGTTGTATCTAGGATTTATGTATTAGTGTTTGGTTAAACTATTAAGTTTTCATCTTCCGTATTTTTGGTTATTTTTAATGATTCCGCTGTTGATCACCTAATATATTGATCTGTTAAATAGGCTAAGTAAAAAGGGTAATGAATCTATAACGTTCGGCTTGCCTAGCTTTCACGAGTAGGCACCATCACAACTCCTAAGGG